TTATATGTACCTCAGGTACTGGTTATATATAAACAGTGCTTAATATAGTTTTATTTTGCTCTGGACATGTCTTGTATCCATATTTTATGTCAATATAAAACACGTTTGAAATTCATGTATCATTTTGAATGCAATGCTGACTAATAAAAATTGAGTTAATTACTGGAATTTCACATGTCAAGAAATATTTTAATTATGATCTTTTAAACTTTGTTTTCATATAAGATGGGCATGCCTGATCCTGGACATGAAGGAGGATTTATGCTCACAAATAAGTGTGTAATTTCAAGTTTATAACTGGAATTTCATGACTATGAATTTGCATTATTTATTTTTTTTTTGTTTGTTTCACTGTATTGGGTTGAAAAAAATATGGTAATAATTAAATTTTATATTGGAATCGAACTCCAAATATGATGTACCATGTCTATACCATATTAGGTCAATAATACACTGTGTAAAAATTGTAATATTGTATCTTACTGAATAGCTCTTAATATCGAATTTTTAAAGAATTTTGCATTTTAATACATAAAATGTTCGATCATGCTAAACATAATATATGAACATAATCATATCTTACATGCATAATAAAGATATTTAGTTGTGTATAAATTACTGAGAATGTATAGAAAACAATCAACACATGTATATATCATTTGTCCAATGACATTACAAGAAATCGGCAGGTTAAAATTGATAATGACTGCCTCTTGTGCTTAAATATGTAAAGTTGATATGCTTCGTCGGAATGTAATAAAAGTCCGATCGCAGAAGTTATAACTCGGGAAATTCATACGACGAAATATACCTCCACGCAGAAGAGCGTAACCCGTCAATCTAAAAATAAACTGCACTTCGATATTCCGATAGCCGCATTGGTATCGATCCCAGTACCTCTCACATGCTAAGCGAGCGCTCTACCACTTGAGCTAATTCCCCTACATATTAGATAGTATTCGTATCAAGTCCATGAGCTTTGTGATAGAAGTTCGGCCACATGCACCGGTGCCTATGATTCGACTCAAGAACGTATGCGAAAAAGACAAATGTATTTGTTCTGTTCTGAAGGTAAGAGTGCATACACATAGGCACTGATAAATGAGAACACAAAAGTGCATGTTTAATCCTTAAAAGTTGATAATTTGTCTTAGTTGCAAATATTTTACATTATTGAACACTTGCAGACAGAGACGACGGGGAAAATTGAAGGACGTCTCTAAATAGGTTTACTAGCATCCCTGTTAATAAAAGTACAGAAAGGGAAAAACGCCATCGTATACGTCATGCAGTAAAAACACGTTTGTATATACAAATCTATTAATCACATGAAGACTTTTTCTTCTTGAAAGTATACGATAACTACATATTTACACAGTGTACTGTGTGTTATAATTTCTATAACATCCCAGCTGATTATTCATATAGTATCTTTCATTTGCACTTCTGTTATACATGTCCTTGTTATTATCAAGCATAGAGAGAGATAGAGAGAGAGAGAGAGAGAGAGAGAGAGAGAGAGAGAGAGAGAGAGAGAGAGAGAGAGAGAGAGAGAGAGAGGAGGGGTTATAATCATTATTAGATAAAAATAGCACTAATTTTGTGGAAATTAAATAAATTTAAAGTCAGTTTGGTAAAGTCAAGGCCATTGGGAACAGACTTGTTAGCATTCATACTATAGTTCTAAAATGGGCATCCATTTTTTTTCCAATTATTCTCAAATTTTGTTTTCATAATAGTGTTTTTGCTGGAAATGTTGTACTTTTGAACATGGAAATGATCCTTAATCTTATTTATAAGAGCATTTAAATTAAGAGATTTTTGTAGACATCTTGACTTATAAACATAGTGTTTAATGAGAATTAAAATTTCGTTATCTACAGTGTTAGCATTTGGATGGATAATTCCAAATAATTATGTTTTGGCATCTTTTTAACTTTTATGAAAAATTTCAGATAGAAGTGGTATAAAAGGCTGAAATAGTCCTAATGGATGGAAGTCATGTTTTCTTAAGAAACACTTGACGGCTGTAATCAAGCCATGATACTGTAAATAGTTGTTATTGATTGAAAATTTATCGAACGTGAACTTCGCATTTTTATATTTTTTTTCTTAATATCCACATTTGATACTCTTTGTAAAAAAATCATTTTCATAAAATGTTGTCGTGGAAATAATAGGATGGCTGTGATTCAGGAAAAATTTGAATTATATGTGTAATTGAATTATTTCCTGTTACACATGTTCTGACGCCTATACCGGAAAAAGTAGTGCAGCAACATATTGTTGTCGAGTTGTCAGGTGTTCTGATCAAAGGGAGATAACTCTATTACCGTAGCGAAGTGACAGAAATGCGACATGGAAATTCAGTATATATGAATTTGAATTATAGAGTTTTGTTCAACATCATCAACGAAGTTTGTAAAATTGCTTGTTTGCTATTAAATAATGGAAAATACTGATATTTACGACATGCCGCAATTTGACCGGCAGACGACACGACGACGACGTAAATTGTTTGCTTGCTGAAAATGCTATTTCATATTACTATAACTGTTTGTTACTGCTTTAGGGAGAAGTAACACTGTTTGTCGTGGTTTTCGTCAGGTAAATGATGAAGTAAGTGATGAAGTAAATAAAATACAAGATCTTATAACACGACCAGTAGAAGATTTGAATGTAACGTTTCGATGGCTACCTTCATCAGACTAATGACCAGTGTGGAGTTTACCAGCACTAGGAATCGACCAACTGGTTCGGCTGTACTATAATCCTATGTTCACTATGGTCGAAAAAAGTGTGACCAGACGGTAACAGAGCCGGAGTGAGAGTGATAGAAACATTCTAATGTAAATTCAATTTCCAAAGATTGCTTCGATAAAAATAATTTGAAATATTTTGTTAAATAGAAAGGTATCGTAATTAATTCTTGAAAGTATCCAGTCATTGTTTAATTTCAGTCGGAATTATGCATATAGTTATTTAACCATTTGACAAATAGCTGTTTACCTGATCGTTTTTCGTTTTTCCGTTTTTGTTTTTTGTGTGTTTGTGATCTTAATGTGTGATTTATGTTATTGCTTAACGTCAAGCATTTTACATGAACTTAACTCGTACCAAATGTTGAGTGGTGACAAATATGTAATAATTACGATATAAAATTAATCGATTATGTCTGCATTATCTGAGTGCGTTCAAGATGGCTCCGATTAGCATCTCATCACAACCCGGTATGTGGTCACTGCATAGATAACACATCAATGAATTTAAAGCTAACATGACTTTGTGATTTATTCCTCAAATAGTTCCTTAATTTTGTTTCTCAACGGTTTGACATGATCTATTTTCCAAACCCACACAAAGTAACGCTGTAACAACTAAATTAATACAATTACCTGTCTACATTACTTTACTCAAATATCTTCTGACAAGAAAATGAATACAAGTTCTCCAAGACTAATAACTTTGAAAGACTACAACCAATATTTGCATGGATGAAAAACTCTTTAAATTTTTATTTTTCGTTTTCTATTTTATTCATTTTTTTTTTGTTTCTCAGAGTCCTCTGTTTTCATATGTGGAGCGGGAAATGTATGCACTAAATTGTATAGAAATATGTTCTTGTCCCCGTGTTAAAATGTCTTTTGTTCATATGTTGTCTTCGTTTCATCGATTTTGAGGTTAATTTTTTTTATTTCTTGATAGCTATATTGTGTGTAGTGTCGTTTTGAAAGTAAGGATCACATCCTATTTATCATCTTGGCGAGTATTTGAAATAAGTAAGAATTCCAATGCCTGACTTTAATTATGTAATTAGATGGTAAATAAATAGTTATCTAATACGATTTCTTAATTTCCACAAATACCAATATTTATTACAATATTTATTTTTCTAAACTTGTACTGAAATGTGGTTTTCACCCGTGTGTTTGTTCTATAGTGTCCGGTATATTCATTGTTAAGCGTTTACCGTTAATTTCTGACATCCTGTAGAAGGATTTATAATCAAAATCGGTATTGTCATTAATTGAATCTTAACTCACGTGGATGTGCATTTGCTTCACACACACCCCCGTGCTTTGACAATGGTTAAGAATTCAAATCTCGCTCTTCATTTTAATATTTCGAAATAATTTGTCTCCTCAAGTACAAATTAGCTAATTTTATATATGCACGTGCTCTTCATTGATTTGCACGTCAAATGCATTCCTGAGATACAAAGTTCTAACCTCAAAAAATGTCATGATTACTGTATTTGTCTGTCAATAATCGTTTATAAAAGTATGTTTATACTAGGGCATAGTTCATTTATTTCATCAAACAGTGATTATTTCTGAACAGCAAGAACCCTAAATGGTAAATGTATTACAAATATAAATAAAGACATACACTGCAGTGATGGAAAAAACATTTTAAAAATGTTGTATTAGAAGAATTTTTGTGGGCATGTCATTTACGCTTTGTAAGTGACTATTCAAGATCGCAAACATTGAAAATTGCAAAGAATACAAAGGTTTCTGCGATCTTTAGAAGATAAATCACGTTTAAAAGACCCATCGAACTAGGACAAGAAAGGAATAGATTTTTTTCTGATAATGAGGTTATCGAAATATTTAAAGGGAACAGAAAATAGCCAATTAGATGTAGTGATGTCGTGAAACGTATATCATTAAGATGACACGTAAATAACTAGTCGCGCCGTGACAGATATTTCCTAAATGTATCCCTAACGGTAAATTAATTTTTGAATGACTGCAGATTTCAGATGTTACAAACGAGTTCATTACAGCCTGTATATGATAATTAATCTTTTTTTTGTGTGTTTCTCAGTAAAACTATTCAAGATGTTTCACACAGTACGATATGTTGTGGCCGATTGTGGTTTCTTACCGTTCCAATACTTGTCAACCAGAACAAAAATGATTTTAAGTATCAATGAAATATGAAATGTATATTAAAAGAAAAACAAAACACTCCATTAAAATGTAACAAAACGGGGTTTTACTGGCATGACCTCGTGGTCCCATCAGATGAACAATTACGTTAACGTTTGCACGAAAAGACATGTTGATACAGGATATGACGTCATAATAAACATAACTTCCGCTGCTCCTCCAGTTTATAATGGTGATGATGATACATAAGCTTGAAGACAAAGCAATGGATTGACCCTCCTGGAAAGATACAGATAAAAAGAAAACACTGAATTAATGATCGATATCTACCAAACAGCTGTTCCACTGAAGAAGTGCCGTTTCTGTTGTTTTGTTATATTCCTATATAAAACATTTGTTAGTTCATTCCAAACTAGTTGAATGAAGACTGTTTTTGTTTCTTGTTTTGCGAGGTGTTATTTTACAATAATTGTCAAATATTAACCGGCTGACGTAAAACAATTCATAATTCAAGACGACAGTGGTGTTAAAATTAGGAAAATGATCTCTTTTAAGATATGTAAATTTTGTTGTTGATATTGATTTTTCAGTTCAATAGAATAACAAACATACATAAAATGTAATTAATATTAATGTTCCAATATTCTAATATGTTTTGTTCGTATCTTTATAAACTTGCTCTACGATCTTTAATCAATTAAGGACTTTGGTTTGACGATTTTCCCATTTTATCTTTCACTGTTACATCTAAATCGTGTGTAAAGGGATGGTACATGTGTACAATAACGATGTAGATTTTAAAATCGTTTTCATTTTAGGGAAAAATAAATTAAAAAGAAAGAGGACTTTAAGTGAAACTGTAATTTGTTATATCTATAAATAGATATAATTAATCATATTTTGACTTGTAAACAGAGAGCAATTTAATTTGAATCGGTACTAAAATCATCCTGAGTTTTTCGTCAAGAACTTTATGAAAAAACACAACCGAGTATTCTAAAGTGGCAACTCCATTGAAAGTTTTATCTATATCAAATACTGTACAGCTGGTAATTTTTGCGGGAATATATTTTCGCTTTTTCGCGGTACATTAACGTAATTGCGAAAATTTGATCCCTGAAATGATAACACAAGTGTATATCAGATGTCATTTAACGTCCAGATCGCTATATGTCAATTTGTTAAAATATAATTTGATCATTTTAATGGAAAATCGGGAAAATTTTGACCCGTGGAAATACCAGCAATAGACATGGTATGACTATGTAGGTCACTAATTGAATGAATTTTAATATGTTGTGTTGTTCAGTTATAAGTCTGTTTATAATCAAAGGGTTACAGTATATCATTATTGTTGTTAAATAGCAATAACATTTCGAACAATAAGACAAGTGTTGTATAAATTATCACTGATTTTAAAGTCAGTAAAATACGTAACAGCTGATTATAGCTATATATCATTTTGCTAGCTAACTGATAAAAACTATTATTTTAATGAAAAAAATAAATTTTAATTGAATTTTTCGGGATTCAGAAAACTTGATTTATAAATCCAACCGTGAGTAAACAGCCATGTAATACTTACTATCTATTTTTTAGCAGCTAATGAAGAAGCAAGTAGTTTTTCCCGAATCCCGTCAAAGCAGCAGAGGCCATTAGGTTGACACTTGAGGAAGTTAGGCATGCCGTACTTCTCTGTAGATCTTCTCATGCATTTCAAACCCATCATTCTGTTACAGTCAGCCATCATGATACCAGCAAAACCTTCTCCCATGACGAAATCTCCAGATTCACAAAACGCTCTTACATGCATCATGTTCTGGAAAAACGAGCCTTTGCCTGTTTTGTTGATCATGTTCATCATAACACGAGTCCTCAAAAGGTTTTTCATGTCCAGTCCTCCGGCAGCCCCCGCAGCACCCATGGTCATCATCCCCCGACCTAACCCAGCCCCGCCCATACCCGGAAGCATTTGGGCGTTTGCATCTACAACGGTACATAATAAAGAAACGTGATAAAGTTATTACACTGACTCATATAATCTCGCTTTTAGTCAAAACAAGAGACCACGAACGTATACATAACCATAATCAGAACTAATTTTTAAAAAATAGGGCGTATGGAAACAGTTTTGTGGATTCTCGGAAAACAGTGCCAAATTAAAACCAGAATTTCTGGAAAGGGTAATGTATCACAATTATGAAACTTCATAAACACGAAGGCAATAAAAGTGACGTGACATTTAGATTGTTAGGAACGAATCCACCGAAGGAAAGGTGTGATAATGCGTCATAGTTGATAACAGAAATAGGAAAGGAAAATTTATGTATAATCATATATTTAGTAATTACAACAACTAATTAACGAAAATTTGACATTACTAATTTCTAGAGTTAAGACATTGCGTAACCGTGATTTTGACAATACTCGTTGTTTAATAAGATGTACCAATGCTGCTCTCAAATACGCGCTTTAAGCAGCATATTGTTACTTTTTGTTCTCCCCAATAAAACCTTATACACTACAAAAAGTTTAACAATGATGTAAAATTGAAACGGTACATAAACAACGGTATTCATTTACTAAACGGCGATCTTTTGAATGAATATCATTGAGTTGCGAAAGTCAGGATAAAAAAAAATAATGCATATGGTCATTAATAAATAAATCCTGATGCAATATATCTAACTGCGTTAGTGATCGTACTGAAGGTAAAACTAGATTGTCCGTAGGAAATCCCCAATGCCATTAAAGTACCCCCATACAAGCCGTTTAGGTATAATTCTATATTTAGCAGCATGCGTCTTTTAAACATTAACAATTAGAATATTTAAATTAATATCTACATAAACAGATATACATTTACGAATTAAGATTTTGGATTTTATAATTAATTGATATTAGTATTTCAAAATCTAATGAAAAAAGTGAATAGATTTCTCATGCTATCACATTTAATAATACAACATAAATATGTTTAATTTTTATCCCATGAAGTCATTGTAAGAGATTTTAGGACACATGTTTAAAAAGAAACGACAGTAGAAAAATTATTAAAATATCCGAAGGAAAGGAAAAAACTATGCGTTCTCCACAACTAAAGGTAAGATAACAGCATGCATAAGACAAATGTGCTGAATATTAATTTTAATCAATACGAGAGTAAACCAGGAAATACAAAATTTTCTGCATGATGTACGTTATTTTGATGTGGTTAATGGGATGAGATATACAGTTAAATGAGAAACTGTTTTTCCCTACATTTACCTAAAAAATAAAACTTTAAAAAATCCCAATTAAATATATTAATTTACTAGCTATTTAGAATAAAGATAACTATACCGTGAGATTGTGTACAAATTATGTAACAGAAAAATACTTACAAATTACTCCTGAAACAACGATTAAGAGAATAATCTCCCTCATGATTGCGGTGTGTGAGACGGAATGGGTGATCAGTGCTGTAGAGAAGTTACACGGAAGACTGACACCGCACGACTGCTGGATTTAGCTTTTATATGACCCACCATGAGGCTTATATACATCACCGTTCTCGGGCTGACGACATACACCTATTGGTTACACACCACAGACATGGTTCTGCACAGTTCTAGTGATATTAATTAAACAATTTATCACGAATGCTATGAGGGGGACACAAACAGGATATGTTCCTTTAATTATACTGGTAGTAAAATAAATCTTAAGTGTATATCTCGAAAATAAAATTTAAAAAGAATTTTAAAAAAAAATAAACAAACAAAGAAAAGGGGAAAAAAGGTGGGGTCTAATTTACAAACTGAGAAATGATCTCAGATTATGTGAAAAATACATTAACATGAAAACAATAATTTTAAGCGTCCTCATATATGGAAATTAACTATTTTAAACAGAGAGAAACACGATTTTCCCTTACTGGACCTCACACAGGATAAAGTTGTACACGTACCGGTCCCCGGGAACTCTGACAAATTGAACGTATGCCTTATACGGCTTAAATATACATCATAAAAAGTAGATTTATTGTCTACCCAAAACCCGTAATAAATAACATTTGTAATTATGTGGATGAAACGACCATTCCGTAAGTCCACTACCTGCCACGCCGGTCACGCAATGTGGGGAGAGTAATGACTAATCACTGCAGTAGAAAGTACTGTAATGTTTCTGTTTACGGACCTTGGTGTTCTTGCTTTTTTAGTAGAAAACATTTTTTAACCATTATCAGTATGTCTTTACGTGGGACTTTTTTATTCTTTATTTTAAAGTGATGGCTTCGATGTTATTTTGAGCTCGGACTGTTTAAATCACTGATATGAATGTTGAACAAATAGTTAATGTTTTACATACAACATGTCGATTGATTCTATAAATAGATATATCTAGAGGCACGGTTCAGAATATGCACATGTATAGGATATATTTAGAAAATTGCCAAATATAAAAAGAATTACGAAATATGTTGAATAATGTGGCTAGTGACCTCTTCAGGTAGACTTGACTTTTCTTTCGATCCCTTTTAACTTTCCTCAGTCGCCGTCTAGGTTTGAAATTAAAGACACTTAACATCATTAACGAGTCCTAGAAGGACGAAACAGCTGTATGATGCAGCATCACTGACGAGTCCTAGAAGGACGAAACAACTGTATGATGTAGCATCACTGACGAGTCCTAGAAGGACGAAACAACTGTATGATGTAGCATCACTGACGAGACCTGCAAGGACGAAACAGCTGTATGATGTAGCATCACTGACGAGTCCTAGAAGGACGAAACAGCTGTATGATGTAGCATCACTGACGAGTCCTTGAAGGACGAAACAGTTGTATGATGTAACACAAATGACGAGTCCTAGAAGGACGAAACAGCTGTATGATGTAGCATCACTGACGAGTCCTTGAAGGACGAAACAACTGTACGATATAGTTAATTATATCTAATGTTAATTTTGCTTTAAAAGGTTTTTAGATGTGGTTCTTTTGTACAATGACTTTGAAAAGGAATAATATAAGAACAACTTGTTCCTGGTTTTTTTATTGTGTTTAGAGGGGATATACTCATACAAAGTATTGTATATCCATCTGTTCAAAATCGGCCATGAGAGGCATGCAGTAGAAAGCGTTTATTTTGAGGCGACAAAAACAAGATATTCCAGTCTGATTGATCTTAATGTACAGAGATACTGACATGTTTTACACCCAGATGTAAACATAAAGATGTACATGTGACACCAGGAGTAGGAGAACACCTTTTGTAATGTGTTATACGCATTGTGTATTGTAAGAGTGATATTCTGTGGTTCGTTAATAGGGATTGTTTTGTAATACGCCATTCTATTAATTAACATTTGTCTTGTCCTATTTACCTTTCTTCATCCACCTTCTAGATTTTCAAATTTATCCTCTTGCTAGAGTGGTAAGTCCTACAAGAACCATACAGTTGTTTTGGTAAATTTTAATCTTTATTTAATTTTATTGTATCGAATAACAAAATATTTTAATAGTGTTTTTTACGTGTTCGTCTATTGTGCAATAGCTGCAAATCCTTGCTCCTTCGAAGTTAGACCACAAAATGTGGCCGGAGAATGCTATTTCATTGTGTTACTTGACATGTGTCTGATGATGGTGGTCACTCCCCCTTGAACTGCTGTCAGCTGTAATTAAGGAACAGTAAACATAGTTTATGATCGCCATAACTTATGTTTGTTGTTAAAGATATACAAGAAGTTCATTAAAGATAATTTATACTAATAAACCTCACACAGTTCTTGCTTCATCATCGTTTGTCCCCGTTAAATTAATTCAGTGCGTGGCACGTGGAGTACCAATTGATGCTAGAATACAAAAGTTGCCTGTACTCTTCTTGTTGATCAGAAAAAAACAGTGCCTCAACCCAGGAGTCGGTGTATAGTTCCTTGCTTTATAGTAGTGAATAAGCTTGTTTGACAAGAGGAGTCAGTATATAGTTTTAAAACCTTTGATGCTTAACTGGCAAAATGAAAGAGCTTTGAAAGAAACTATGCCTTCAAATGATCATAAGTATTTGGCCCTGTCATTCTTGGGATTTGCTACCAACTACTTGACAATACAATATGATACGGACAATATGGTATTATTTAATTTTTCCTATAAACCACCTTTAGAAAAAAAAGAGAAACTCATTGGTTTCAAAGTAAGATATCACAAATTTTGAATCATTCTTGTTCACTGCCAAGACAATCATAAGACGACGATAATTATTACGTCACAATAATAGTTTTACACTTATGTCGTGCGTTATTGATGGCAGACTTGATAGTAAAATAATGAAAGCAGACTTGATGATTAAAGTACATGTGATGTTTCACGAGAAACCGTTATATATCTTCTATCTAATACTTATCTACAACATACCTAACTAAATTTAACATGTAATTTTGGACGAAGCGCACTTACTTTAATGGGTAATTTATAATTCTGTATATGGCTGTCATGTATACGGTGCTGTCAACACGTAACCAAAATTTTCTATGACCAATGTTATTACCTAAGCTGACAGCTATGCATGTAGGTTGTGTTATTACTTTAACTAATATTGTTTTGTCATGCGATGTTTACTTATTTGACAAGGAATAATCCTCTTCTTCAACAGGTCAAGTCATAATCATATACCATGAGTTTGACAAATGTCTTCCTGTAACACAAAAATGACCTTAGCAAAAGTGATATAACATACTGTGAAATCATATGTTTCGGTCGGACTCACATTTCATGGTCTTTCAAAAATATATTACTTCGTAGACACCTGTCTTCGTGAAGTAATAAGACTCCAATTATCTGAAAGTTTAAATTAATGAATTTGTGGAAAACAAGAACTCGCGTAAACGATGAAAATAAAACTCCCACGAAAATGAATGGTTTTACAGTATTCTACACAATTATCATTGTCGGATATAAATCAACGAAAAAAAAATTTAAATGGCTGTTTGATAAGTCCTTTGAATTGTGATTATATTATTAGATCGAGATATCATTAAAGTCAAAAGCAAAATCACTTAACGGAATTAACTTGTATGGAAATTTGTTTAATCATAAATTTTTTTAAGCAGATTTCACAAATATCGTCACTCAGGAAGATTGTTCAAAAGATACATATTCAAAAGTAGATACCATAGAGATATGTAGTAAAACTACTCGCTTCAGACAACTATTTCGTCCTTATAGGACTTGCCATTGATGCCAAGGGCCTAAATTCTGAAAACTTAGAAGGCAAATGAGAAAATCATTGTGTGACAATTTTTACATTATTCAACATCTATTTATAGTATATTTTCTGTGGGCAAACGTTTGGTCTTTTCGCTGATGTATCAGTGTTGAAATGTCGTTTATTTCCAAAACATTTTCTGATTTTTACATTCCAGAGACTAAGACAGAAATGCCGTGCTATTTGAGTTCACACACTGCACCTCTGTGGTGGAAAGTCATATGCTATTAGTTTAAGTGTTTTATAAACCAGAAATTCATTAAATGAATTGTAGAGGTTGGATGACAAATTCGTCATTCGTCGTCGTTGTGGATTGTAAGTTGCAGGTTTTTCTTATGATATGGGGCTGGAACTTACTACTATTATATCATTATATACGATATATGATATATTATGATAAGAGGAAAAGGGAACGCAACTTTACTTATATTTATATTCATTTATCAATTTACCTAAATGTAAAATGCAATAGCAAAATTCGTTTATTGAACCAATTAGCTATGATCACAATGACATTGACTGGACATAGAGGAATGTTATTCCATTCCGCGATAAGTGAATTGGTCAATTGACGGAGGTAATTTTGGACGTTTGCTCGATTCCGATCTCTTCTGTCTTATAGGTCTTTGGTTTGGGACAAATCAGGGCTATATGAAGGCCAATCGGTCTTTGGTTTGGGACAAATCAGGGCTATATGAAGGCCAATAGGTCTTTGGTTTGGGACAAATCAGGGCTATATGGAGGCCAATGGGTCTTTGGTTTGGGACAAATCAGGGCTATATGGAGGCCAATCGGTCTTTGGTTTGGGACAAATCAGGGCTATATGGAGGCCAATCGGTCTTTGGTTTGGGACAAATCAGGGCTATATGGAGGCCAATAGGTCTTTGGTTTGGGACAAATCAGGGCTATATGGAGGCCAATGGGTCTTTGGTTTGGGACAAATCAGGGCTATATGGAGGCCAGTCAGTAGGGACGATGTTCTGGGTTGCAAGAAAGTCCCTTGCTCGCGTTTTCATGCTGACACGCCAAATGTTGCCTTAAAATGAAAGGAATAATATGATGTCTAAGGATCTTATGTCGATAGCGTAAAGCCGTTGAATTTCATTCCTTTAATGTTTATCTAAGATGTCCTTAATCATAGGTAATTCCTTCCAAGACCGATCTACCCCCAAATCTGACGTGCTTCAAAACACAAGCTTCTGCAAGGCACTCTTCTCGACGCCG